TTTTTTTTTTTTTTGAGGACATGTTCCACATTTTATTTACATTTTAAGACTATCTTTAATCTCAAAATCACATATTCATACACCTATTTCCTTTTTGTTGATTTCCCTTACTCTTAAATGCATGGTTTGTCAAACACTGTAAACAAATATTTACCATGTCTGTTACATGTAATACACAGGAACAACTTTTAATAGAAATTCATCGACCTCACCCATGAAATTTTTTTTAATTATAAATATGGGTATCAAAACAATCCTGAACAGGGCTGGCCCCGTGGCTTGGCGGTTAAGTGCTCGCACTCTGCTGCTGGCGGCCCGGGTTCGGATCCCGGGTGCGCACCGACGCACCGCTTCTCCGGCCATGCTGGGGCCACGTCCCACATGCAGCGACTGGTAGGATGTGCAGCTATGACATACAACTATCTACTGTGGCTTTGGGGGAAAAAAGAAAAAAAACAAACAAAAAAACAATCCTGATCATATATATATATATATTTTGTGTGTGTGAGAAAGATCAGCCCTGAGCTAACATCTGTCAATCCTCCTCTTTTTGCTGAGGAAGATCGGCCCTGGGCTAACATCCATGCCAATCCTCCTCCACTTTATATGGGACGCCGCTACAGCATGGCCTAACAAATGGTGCGTCGGTGCGCACCCGGGATCCAAACCGGCGAACCCTGGGCCCCTGCAGCAGAGCACGTGCACTTAACCACTTGTGCCACTGGGCCAGCCCCAATCCTGAACATATTTTTGATACTACTAGTAGTTAGCACCCACACTGCTTCAAAAATTAACGCAATTTATGACAATATTCATTGTGCCTGCTGCTTTAGACAATTTCAACTGAAGCTCTTTCATTAAGCAAGATGGATAAAGCATGCTATTTGTTTTTCCTTCTTGAGATTTTTACTTTTCAGAAACACACATGCTTAAATAGCCATCTGACGCTTCTCGCCATGCTTTCATCTTGTAAACCTGAATTCCATTTTGAGTACTCCAGGTTTATGCTTAAATGACAATGCCTTAAGAGAAAAAAAATTGTGCTGCATTTTTCCTCCTGTTACCTAAAAACATAATGGGTGTACATATATTAAATATGTTCTTACAAATGTCCACGTCATGTTTACCAGCTGGAATTCTTTTAGTTAATGTGTGGGTATTCTGCATCGTGATATTTAATCAAGACATTAACATGAGTAAAAGGTTGCTGATTTAAGACAAGTTTGAGATCCACTAAAATTAATTGTTGTATGTTTGTCCTTCTGGTGGCTGTGGAAGCTTCATGTTTTTTTTTGGACATCATTAGACGTCTTAGCTCTTGAAGTACAACTTTAATGCTATATGAATTTTGCCATTTTGCTAACACCGGTATGCTCCGTGCACCCACCATTGCACTGGAATTATTTATTCCATTCATATTAATTTTGGTTACAAATCTAACTGGTGGAGGAGCTTCTGGATATTTAGGTCCACATTCTACTTTCAGGCTATATATTCTGTTTTATTTATTTATTTATTTATTCATTCATTCATTCATTCAGGCTATATATTCTGTTTTATTTATTTATTTATTTATTCATTCATTCATTCATTCATTCATTCCCCTAAAGCCCCAGGAGATAGTTGTATGTCATAGCTGTACACCCTTCCAGCTGCTGCATGCGGGATGCGGCCCCAGCATGGCCGGAGAAGCGGTGCATTGGTGCATGCCCAGGACCCGAACCCGGGCCGCCAGCAGTGGAGTGTGCACGCTTAACCGCTAAGCCACGGAGCCAGCCCCAATATGTATATATTCTGTTTTCATAATTTGTCTGTGGAGACTGCCATCTTCTCCTGCAACCTGACGCAGCTGCCTCTGGTCTTTAGTATTTTTAGCAATGCTCATTTTAGCATTTACTCCAGGAGGTTTATTCTCTGAAGTTCTCAGGGGTCTCTTCCCACTGTGTCTGCTCTTGGTCTTGGGTGTTTCTTCCCATGATCTGTAGTTTTGGAATGTGAATTCATCTTCAGCAGGAAGTCCCAGGCAGCCTGTTGAGGGCCATCAGGTAGTTTTAGGGTTGTTTCTGCCTGGTTCCACAGAAGTGACGCCTGCCTGGGGTTCCTTCTTATCTGGTTCCTTGGCTGGAGGGTTCCCAGACCAACTGGAGTACATAAACTACAGACCTGTTGGAAGGGCTGGCCTGTGGTGACAGGTGCTCAGGGAAGACATTTCTTCGTCCAAAGCCCAGAATAGTGGTGGTTTTGGTGAGCAGATTTGTTCTAGTTTATCATTTTACAGAAGTGGCCTTTGAGAGTCCTGCCTTTATTTGGGGCTCTGCATTTCATCTTCCTGTAGTGTGTAGGTTGCCTTTCTCCGAGGAGGTATGAGAAATGTGCAGAAGAGCTCACACTGTGGGCGTGAGATGGCCGTCCTCAGAAAGGCCTGCGTGCAAGGCTGGCCCTTGGCTGGCACCTGGGAACTTGGGATTCAGGAGGTTTCTCGCCTTTCTCTGATAGGAGTGCCTCACGTAGCTACATTGCTTGTGCAAACATTGTGTTTTATGCTGAGCACCTGCTCTCCTTCTGGGAGTCCGTAGTTTTAAAGATTTTATTTATTCATGTTTTTCCCCCCAAAGCCCCAGTAGATAGTTGTATGTCGTAGGTTCACATCCTTCTAGTTGCTGTACGTGGGACTCGGCCTTGCGTTGGACGGAGAAGTGGTGCCTTGGGGCGCGCCCGGGATCCGAACCCGGGCCGCCAGCATCAGAGCGCACGCACTTAACCACTAAGCCACGGAGCCGGCCCATGGGAGTCCGTAGTTTTAGTACATGCAGGCTGAGGTGCCCATGTGACCATCCCCAATAAAAACCCTGGGTGCTGGGTCTCTAGGAGCTTCCCTGGGGGACAGCACTTGGCACGTGTTGTCACAGTCTGGTGCTGGAAGAATCAAGCTCATCCCAGCTGGAATCTGGACTCCTCCTGACTTCACCCGATGCACCTTTTCCCTTTGCTGATTGAGCTGCGTCCTTTCACTGTGAGTGACCAAACCCTGCGGGTGGTCCTGGGGACCCCCACACAGGGTCCAGCTTCTGTTAGGCACCCTCTGAGTTAACTCACTGCTCTGGTTTTGAGTCTGCTCTTCACTTTTGCACTCTGGGATAACTTAGAAGCTCAGTTCTGCATTTACAGGGATAGTTTTCATATTTCATGCAGGATTTCTAGGTGTTTGGTATCAGGAGAGTTTTTAGGCTAACAGCTCAACCCTTAACTGGAAACAGAAATCTGATTCGTTGGTTTATAAAGTAATGCTGGAGACAGTCTAGAACCATGCGGTTCAGAGCCTGGTGTTTGGTCCAAGAGGGCCTGTGCTTGAGCCCACGCTACCTCTAGAGCCTTCTTATCCATCAGGTGAGGGCTCGCTGGGACGGGGACAGCGTGTCACGTGCCTGCACCGCGGGGGCGCCCAGGAAGGGTAGCTGTTGATACTCCAGCCGGGTCCTGTACTCACTGGCAAGTGGGCCACAGACAGTCTTAGGCAGTTTTCTCCCAACCCCAAAAGTTGTTCTGGGGTAGAGGCTGCTATTTCCCACGATGTTGTCCTCATTAGAGTTCTGCCCTTTCCTGCAAGCCTCCAGCACCTCTGGGGCCTGCTGTTGGTGGCCACTGTTAGTCATCCATCTGGGACTTGTGGTGCTTTCTTTGTTGCTCTGGCTGTGCAGTCTCCAGTTTTTATCTTGGTCACTAGCCTCCACTTCTTTCCCCTTTCTCTTTAGGTGTGTGATCAGATTAAGACCAAGCTCGCCTCCCTGAAAGATGTTCCTAACCGAATTGAGTGTCCCCTTATCTACCACCTGGATGTGGGGGCCATGTACCCCAACATCATCCTGACAAACCGCCTACAGGTAAGACAGATTCCCACATCAGAATCAAGCTCTTTCTGCCTGAACTCTAATTGCTCCCTCTCCATCCCCTCCACAGCCTTCTGCCATGGTGGACGAGGCCACATGCGCCGCCTGTGACTTCAATAAGCCTGGAGCAAACTGCCAAAGGAAGATGGCTTGGCAGTGGAGGGGCGAGTTCAGTGAGTGTCGGCCCCAGGTGGGGCTGCTCAGCGGGAAGCAGGTGGGCAGTTCTTTATCACAGACTCTTCTCCCATTACCCCTCCTAGTGCCAGCCAGTCGCAGTGAGTACCATCGGATCCAGCACCAGCTAGAGTCAGAGAAGTTCCCTCCTTTGACCCCAGAGGGCCCAGCCCGGGCCTTCCATGAGCTGTCCCGAGAGGAGCAGGCTAAATATGAGAAGAGGAGGCTGGCAGGTGAGCAGCCTGGGACTTAGCTGCAGCTTTCTAAAAACTGTGTCTCCTCTGACTTTTGGGCCTGCGTTGGGCTGTGTTGGTACATCACAGCCTGAGGTCAGTTAAACCAGTTGTTGAACCAGATCAGATTGTGTGAACTAGTTCTTCCTGTAGGCTTCCTTTCTTCATTTCTCTTTTGGCAAGTGTTCAGATAATGACCTCTCCCCGCTGTGGTCTTGGCGTATTTGGCCCGTTTGTACTGGGGCTGCCCTCTGTCTGATATGACAAACTAGCAGCATATCTTTCTGACTTTTCTGCTCCTTTGTGTTAACCTAGAAAGCCATGTTTATTGACATTCTTGCATCCTAGCTTTCTTTGGCCTTGTCCAGAAGGTCCAACTGTCTGCTGTGTTGAGTCTCATGTGCTCCCTGCTCTCCATTGTGCCTCAGATTACTGCCGGAAAGCATACAAGAAGATCCATGTGACCAAGGTGGAGGAGCGCCTCACCACCATCTGCCAGCGGGAGAACTCTTTCTATGTGGACACGGTGCGCGCCTTCCGGGACAGGCGCTATGAGTTTAAAGGTCTCCACAAAGTGAGTCTGACCTTTGTGAGGTTGGAACAGAGTCTAGTTTCTGGGATGAGAATCCTTGTCTAGTGCTGTCTGGACAGTCGTGGCTCCCCCAACTGGGATGCATTGCTCTCTGACCTCTGGGCTGGCACATGCATTCAGACAATAAATGCTAGTTGTTTTTAATTTTAAAGAATTAAGGGCCTGAGGCCTTGCAACTATTCTGAATGATTGCTTTTGAAGTAATTATTTAGAGCAGGGGTCAGCAAACTGTGGTGGGCTGGCCATTTTTATAAATAAAGTTTTATTGGAACCGAGCCGTGTTCCCCTGCAGCAGGGAGGTGAGCAGCTGCGGCAGAAACTGAGGCCCACACGTCTATGGTATTTGCCATGTGTCCCTTTAGTTTGCTGACCTCAGACTGGGAAGAGTTAGGGGAATGTTTTTACTAACATGTTTAATCCAGTTGGATCAAGGAAAATACATAGCAACACCTCAGCTGTAATATCAACAGGTAATAGTTTTATATTTAAGCAGGTTGAGTTATTTCTTCTGAAAGACCTTCCTTCACTGCTAGACTCAAAAAGGTCCCTGCTGCTTGATCATCTCGCATCCTGCCCTGCCCTGATAGACAATTATCATCACGTTTTATTATTATTATTATTACTATTATTGTTGTTGTTGTTTTATTGTGGTAAAATATACATAACACAACAACTTTTTTTAAGTGTACAGTTCAGTGTCATTAAGTACGTTCACATTGTTGTGCAACCATCACCACCATTCATCTCCAGAACTCTTCATTTTGCAAAACTGAAAGCCTACACCTATTTAACAATAATCTCCCATTCTGTTTTCTGTCTCTGTGAGTTTGACTCCTCTAAGAACCTCGTATAAATGGAATCGTATGATATTTGCCTTTTTGGGACTGGGTTATTTCATTTAGCATAATGCCCTCAGGTTTCATCCACGTCGTAGTATGTGTCAGAATTTCCTTCCTTTTTAAGGCTGAATGATATTCCGTTGTATGTATATACCACATTTTGTTTATCCATTCATCTGTCCGTGGACACTTGGGTTACTTCCACTTTTTAGCTTTTGTGCATAATGCTGCTGTGAACATGGGTGTGCAAATATCTCTTCAAGTTCCTTCTTTCAGTTCTTTTGGGTATGTACCCAGAAGTTAAATTACTGGATCATATGGTAACTATTTTTAATCTTTTGAGGAACTGCCACACCATCTCACTTTATAACTATTAGGTTACTTCTTCATCCATCTCCCGAATCAGACAAGTGCTGAAAGTGTAGTTACTGTCTCCTTCAGAGTCTAATGCAGTACCTGGCACATAGTAGGCACTCAATAAGTATCTTAATTTTTTTTTTTCTTTATCAAACCTTTAAAAAAAAATTCTTCTCACATTGGATGGGGAATTTGCTGAAATATTTATGGCCTTCTCTGCATGTCTTTATCAGTTGCTTTTATCAGGGACCTCCTGGGTAGCTCTTGCTCACCTAAGTCCAGTTAACACAGACACACACAGGCCTGGCTCCTCGTCTTAGGACGCCTTGGCCTCAGGATGGCCAGCCATATCACAGAAGCCGGGAATGTGGTGTCTCAAGCCCACCCCGTGACACCTGTTAGCTAAGACTGGCTTCCTCACGTGAAGCAGGGGGAACTGATCTGCCAACGCGACCCCCACCAGCACAGTGGGGGAGCTGTCCCTTGGCCTCTTCGCTGAGGCTCGGCCTCCTGGGGGTGCAGCCTGTCTGTGGACATGAGGGCCAGGTGTCACCATGTGTCCCTCGGCTGGGACTGGGTGTTACTGGGGTCCTGTGCCCCACCCCCCTGGCCCAGTGTTCCTGATCTGATGGCTTCCAGTCTGATACAAATTCTGTGGAGCCTTTCATTCGTTTGAGATGTTTGTTGAGTGCCTGTTATGTACCAGACACTCTTCTAGGTACGGAGAATACATGAGCTGGGGGAGTAAAGGTGAAATGTTCTCAGACAGGAGGAGAATGTAAATGTTTGACCACTGTGACAGCATCTAACTCAGCAAACAGGGAAAGAAATGCTGCTCAGGCAAGAGTGAGTTCACATGCCCCTGAGCACCCATGTCCATCACCCTCCCTGGTGGTCGTGTCCACTTTATTGAAGTGAAATTGACATAGGGTAAATCTCACCCTCTCAGGTGGGCAGTTCTGTGGGTTTTGACAAACGCACACAGCAGTGTAACCACCACCACAGTAAACAGAACGTTTCCATTGCAACCATTCAGAATAGCACACGGTCCTTTGTTAGCTTTGCTGTGTCCGTCTTCCAGTGCTTGAAACAGGACCTGATAAGCAGTTGGTCCATCTGATGGCTAATGAGTAAACTGTTATCTTAAGATGTTGCCTCTAATGATGTGTACTTTGCTCTCTGCCTGTCAGCGGTTTCTGAGGTCTGTTGTTTGAGAAATCCTGTAATTCAGCTTGTCGAGTGCAGTAACTAAGAGTAAATTGAATAACAGGACTCGGATTAGAAGCCCCTGGACCTCTTTGGTGGAGCAAAACCCCTGCCTCTGTTGCTGGTCTTCAGACGTGGATTTCATTTGCTTCTCCAGCCAGCTGTCAGGTTCTGGGTTCTGTCCCAGGAGAGTGAAGTTGCCCCAAGTCTGAGGTGTCCAAGTGGGTTGTTGCTGTAACAGAATATTTTCTCCTAGTCATTGGTCTCACAAAACAAAAATGTGACGTGGACATGTTCCTCTGTGTTTAGAACTCCTTTCAGGACATCTGCCGTACACGAAACAGTTGTAGATTAAAGGTGACTCCTAACATGTGAGAAGCCACCCTGTTGTTCTGGCCTGGGAGTCGTGCAGACCCTGTAAGGGACAAGTCAGTGCTATATCCACATTAAATTTCTTGGGTGTAGTGATGGTATTGTGGTTATGTAGGAGAATGTCCTTGTTCCTAGAAATTGTGTGCTGAAGTATTTAGAGGGGTTGGGTCATGACATCTACAACTTTCAATGGGTTGTGCTAATAGAGAGAGAGAATGGAATAAAGGAAATGTGGCAAAACAACAGTAGTTCCTCCAGGAGAAGTGGGTACAATCTTCACGGTACTGTGTTTTCTGTGGATTTGAAATTTTCAAATTATTGAAACCTTGGGCCATTGACTGAAGAATGTGAGCTGGGAGAATCTAGGAGGTGATCAGTCTTTGTGTGGTTCTCAGGTGTGGAAAAAGAAGCTCTCAGCAGCCATGGAGGTGGGTGACGCGGCTGAAGTGAAGCGCTGCAGGAACATGGAGGTGCTGTACGACTCCCTACAGCTGGCGCACAAGTGCATCCTCAACTCCTTCTATGGCTACGTCATGCGCAAAGGGTGCGCTGCTTCCTGGGGGCTCTGGATGCCTGCAGGGCGAGTGAACGAATGGGCGAGAGGGGAGAGTCAGGGACCTGTAGGCCTCCATCCAGGGAATCTGGGAGCGAGCAGGGCTGGGGTGGGGGGTTGAGCAGCAGGGCCGTGCTGACTCAGAAGGTCTAGGATGCTGAGGAAGATCAATATCACTGGACGTGTTTGTCTGAATGTCCTAGGCTGGAGGCAGCGGTTTGGTAGTTTCTGGCTTATTTATAACTTAGTGAATGTCATCATTTGGGGATGTGGAGAGGGTCTGGGCAGTTGCTAAGCAACACCGTGTGACTAATGAGAGGTGTAAAGCCGGCTGAGAAGTTGAGAAAGCCAGGAGTAGGGGGTCTTAAAGCCAATACAGAGGGTGTTTCCAGGATTGGGCATTGCAAGGAGGTGAGGCAAAGTGGGGCCCGAGTGTGTCCACTGGACACAGTGGTGAGTGGGGGCCATGGGGAGAGCAGGTCACTGAAAGTGGCTTGGCCACTGTGGGTAGGGGGCATGAGGAGGGTCAACACGAGCGGCTCTGGAGAAGGAGAAAGGTGGTGGTGGCGTCAGGGTTTAGGTTTGAGGGAGGGTCCTTTGTGTATTTGTTGTTGCTTTTTAATGACAGAGAGAGAGGGGCAGAGAGCAAGGCTAGAACCTGAGCAGAGTTCCATGGGCAGAATGGGCTGGCCTCAGGTCACCTGACACCTCTAGCTGAGACCCTGTGTAGGAACAATGAGTCAGGTGGCCAGGCGGGAAGCTGAGGGTGTCTGCAGGCTTGTATTTTCTCTGAGAAGTCGGAGGATGAGCTGGGGTTTGGGAGAATGGAGAAGGCATGAGATGATGATGGGCAGAGTGGGAGAAGGCTTATGGGGAACACGTGACCATCTGGGCTAGTATTGAGTCCTGCTGAGGCTGAGGTCATAAGCTGTTACAGTGGCAGCGTGCTGCATTCTTCCAGAACTTTCCTGAGCTGAGCCTCACACCCTGAAGTAGGGACAGAGAAGTGTCCTCAGCACAGAGCTAGATTCCGCCTTAGTTCTCCTTCCCTGCTTCAGACATCCCCTTCTTGACATCCTTCTCTCCCTCTGCCTCATGACCCTCTGGAGGGAGCCTCTCTCGCCCCCAGTTGTGACTGTCCTTCGCAGGGCCCGGTGGTACTCCATGGAGATGGCCGGCATTGTCTGTTTCACGGGGGCCAACATCATCACCCAGGCACGGGAGCTGATCGAGCAGATTGGGTGAGCGCTGCGCTTTGGTCAGCCATGGGTGTGGCGTGGCCTAGTAGGGAAAGCTGGGAGGTCCGGGAGTGGGAAGAAACAGGTTGGCAAAGATGGAGTTGGAAATTGGTGGATGTTTCGTTTCATGGGTTCATGGCCAGGAAGGGCCTTGTCTGCTGTCAGGACTTGACACTGGGTTCTCACTGTGTGGGGGCCACTGTCCAGCATCCTTGTGGCCTCATTTCTCTGCTTCTCTGAAGGAGGCCCTTAGAGCTGGACACAGATGGAATATGGTGCGTCCTGCCCAACAGCTTCCCTGAAAACTTTGTCATCAAGACGACCAACATGAAAAAGCCCAAGGTGACCATCTCCTACCCTGGGGCCATGTTAAACATCATGGTCAAGGTGAGTCTGGGTCTCCAGCGAGGGGCTACCATCGGGGCCTGGGTTCCTAGCGCCGCCGCTCTGACAGGGTTTTGGGAAAGGGGGCTGTGTTGACTCTCTGACTGGCACACTCTGCTTCCTAATTTCAGACCACGCTTCCTCCACCATTCAGATTGTTTTTCTGTAGCCTGCGGATCTGTACCGAAAATGCTATGCTTAAAAGTTACTTGAGTGAGTCTGTGTTCCCCTTCAGCGTAGCACCCAGACTATCTTGCTTTTAACTTTTTATTTTGAAATGATTTTAGACTTACAGAAAAGTTACAAAGATAGAGAATTCCTATATACCTTTCAGCCCACTTCCCCTAATGTGTTAACATCTTCTATAAACCACAATACAATTGTCAGAACTAAGAAATTCATGTTGGCACAACACTGTAATTAAACTACAGTCTTTATTTGGGTTTCTCAGCTTTTCCAGGACCCCACACTGCCTTTAGTCGTCCTGTCTCCTTAGTCCCTTTCAGTCTGGCAGCCCCTCGGTCTTTCCTGTCTGTCATGACCAGGACACTTCAATGAGTACTGCTCAGGTATTTTGTTGACTGCCCCTCGATTTGGACTTGTCTGTTGGTTCTTGTTATTGGATTGAGGTTATTTGGGTTTTTTGGAGGAGGGCCACAGAGATGACATGCCGTGTGTTGGCATTCTGTTGGTGCCCAGTGTCAGGGTCTGTGCTGCCGGTCACTTGGTGCAGCTGCTGCCTGCTGGCTTCCCCACAGTCATGTTCTGGGAGTGAGTCAGTGAGTCCACAACCCAGGAGAGGAATTAAGCTTCCCCTCGAAGACCAAGGAGTGTCAGAGTCTGGCCATATATTAAAGCCACCACAGTAATTAATAAATACTGTGGAGGAGATATTTTGAGGCTATGCAGATGTCCCGTTTCTCCCTAAACTCTGGCCCACTAGTCTCAGCACCTTCGGCCGCTCTAGTTGCAGTAGTCAGCACTGGTGTTTTCTGGGTGGTTTCCCCTGTGGTGATTCCATTTCCCTCATTCCTTGTACATTTATTAACTGGAATCCTGTAAGGAAGGCTTGTCCACTTCTCTCCCACTTATTCCCTCGCTTACTGCTGTACCTAGTCGTGTGTGGCATCAGTATGGGTTCGTGGGTATCTGTGGTCTTGGGTTGTAGCCCAGTGCTGTCCTGGTGTGTTTTGTTGCTTATCTTGTTCCCTTTTGGCCACTGGGTGCTTCTTCACCTTTACCCACATGTTCTTGAGATATGCCCCTGTTCTCTGGTTTGGGTTTGGGTTTGGGTTTGGGTTTTTTTGAAGCACTTTGTTATTTCCTGGTGCTACGAGATGCTCCAGCCTCATTTTCCCTGTTCCAGCCCTAGAATAAGCCATTTCTCCAAGAAGCCTGGGTTTCTTTCACTGGAGAATGGTGTTAGAAACCAAAATAAGGTGCTGGTGTGCCCATTGCTGCTGGGGTGTCACTGCTTCTAGCTGCTCACAGTGCATTGAGCCAGGAAATGTGTGTATGTATGCTGCCCCCCCCCACATATCTATTTGTTTCTCTGTCTATTTGCACATACATTTTAAATATATAAGGTGAGTCTGTATTGATATATCTGGCTCCAATCTAGTCCCCTTTCTTTATTAGTAACTTCTTTCTTCTGCAGTGAGAAACCTGTCTCTAATTTTCTCAATATATTTACTTATTTGTTCAACTTTAGTATGTGTAAAATAGATCAGAATGTACTGCTGTGAGCAATGAATCTATAGCTGCACTGCAGTGTTTGCATAAGCTGTTTTTGACCTTAGTCTTATGCTCCCTAGTCAAAACAGGGTTTGCCAAAGTCACTTAATTCAGCTCTTTTCTTCCCCAGCCTTTCAGCAGGGTTCTGTCATATGTTGATAATGCATTTGGGTCATTTGTCCCAGTCTGCAGTCTGTCTTGGGGACACTCGATGTCCTGGTTAAATGCTTTTTAATTTACTTACAGTAAAATTCTCTCTTGATAGAGTGCAGTTCTGTGGGTTTTGACCCACATGTAGAGTCTGGTGTTCACCACGACAGAGCAACACAGGACAGCTCCATCCACAGACACCCCACAGATTCCTGAGAGCTGCCCCTTTATTGTCAGCCCCTCTCCCCACCCCCAAACCCTGGCTGCCCCAGTGTGTTCTTTGGGCGATGATTTTGCCCTTTCCAGAATGTCCTATGAATGGAAACATGGTGTATAACCTCCTGGACTTAGCAGAATGCACTTTGGTTCATCCACCTTGGACGTGTGTCAGAACTTGATGCCTTTCTCTTGCTGAGTGGTGTCCATTATACAGAAGAGCCCCAGTTTGCTGATCCGTCCACTCTTTGGAGGGCAGTCAGTTGTTCCCAGGTCTGGACAATTATGAGTGAGGCTGCCCACTCTTCACGTGCTTGTTTTACAGGAAGGTTTCACTAACGATCAGTACCAGGAACTGGCTGAGCCTTCTTCACTCACCTATGTCACCCACTCAGAGAACAGCATCTTTTTTGAGGTCGATGGACCCTACCTTGCCATGATCCTTCCAGCCTCCAAGGAAGAAGGGAAGAAACTGAAGAAGAGGTAGGAGTCCCACAGCCTTTGTTCTTGGGAAAGGAAAAGGAAGGATGAAACTTAGCAACCCATCCAGGAAACGGACCAGGAGCCAGGATGGAAACAGACCTCAATTCTGGTTATGACCTTTTTGATTCAGTTTGGAAAGCTGTTGTTGCCACCGATGCCACCAGCTCTTTCTCCACCTGTTAGATTCTGGTTCTACAGGCTCCAGGCCCTTAAATCTGTTTTATGTTGGAGAAGCATAAACCTCAGGATGGAGAGGTGTTTGCTGCCTGATGGATGCTGGAGGGGAGGCTCAGAAAGAAAAGGAGGAAGGCAAAAAGCCAGGATCCCAGGCTGTCTTTCACTGCTGTGCTCACCTGTGTTTCTAGATATGCTGTGTTCAACGAGGATGGTTCCTTGGCTGAGCTAAAGGGCTTCGAGGTCAAGCGCCGCGGGGAGCTGCAGCTGATTAAAATCTTCCAGTCCTCAGTGTTTGAGGCCTTCCTTAAGGGCAGCACCCTAGAGGAAGTGTATGGCTCTGTTGCCAAGGTGGCCGATTACTGGCTGGATGTGCTGTACAGCAAGGTAAGGCCGCCCTCCTCCTCACCTGGCTCTGAGGGATCCTGTGGGCAGAGGGACCCAGTATTCCCTGGGCTCCTGGAGGAGCAGGTGACAGATGAACTCAGGCTAATTCTGACAAAATCCCAAGACTTCCAGTGCCTCTCAGAATCCCCCTCAGTTTCTGCATCCAGTGACAGGATTCTGTGAAGGAAGCAAATACACAATAGTAACAGGAATGGTAAGAGAAAAACTTACCGATGATCACATCAGCTTGATTGTTTAAATCTTTTTTTTGAAAATTTTTTTTTTAAATTTTCTTCCCCCATTTTTCTCCCCAAAGCCCCAGTAGATAGTTGTACGTCATAGTTGCACATCCTTCCAGCCGCTGTATGTGGGACACTGCCTCAGCATGGCCCGACAAGCAGTGCGTCGGTGCGCGCCGGGGATCCAAACCAGGCCGCCAGCAGCGGAGCACGCGCACTTAACTGCTAAGGCACAGGGCTGGCCCTGATTGTTTAAATCTTTGTAGGCTCTATAAACACACACATAATTTCTACAACTTAAATGACAGTATTGCCTTATCCTTAAATACACCTTCTTGTGGAATTTATCATTAGCCTATGTTGCTCTGTAGTCTTTGTATTTCATCAAGTTTGCGTGGCTTAATTTACAGACCAGTCCACTACTGTTGGGTATCAGGCTTCAGGTTTCCGCTGTTATAAATAATGTTGCATCAAACATCTTTGTACAGATGCCATTCCCTCCTTTCCTGCATTGTTTGCTAGGAGGAGGCTTTCTGGGAGAAAGGAATACTCGAATATTCTAGAACATTTTTCTGGCTTCCTGTGTTTCGTGGCATATCATCTTGTTCTGCATAGAGTTGACCCATACACGAGAGTAAGCACAAGGGGGAAGATCACACGAAACTCTCGTTAGCCAAGTAAATCTTATGGGATGTTGGAGGTGGGAGGTCAAGGATGTGTGTGCACAGGGGCAGGGGCGGGGGGTCAGGGCCGCGTGTACAAAGGAGCAGGAGCGAGAGGTGAGGGACGCGTGTGCACAGGGGCAGGGGCAGGGGGTCAGGGCCGCGTGTGCAAAGGAGCAGGATCGAGAGGTGAGGGACGCATGTGCACGGGCAGGGGCGGGGGGTCAAGGCCGTGTGTGCAAAGTAGCAGGAGCGAGAGGTGAGGGACACGTGTGCGCAGGGGCGGGGGGTCAGGGCCGCGTGTGCAAAGAGCAGGAGCGAGAGGTCAGGGATGCGTGTGCACAGGGGCAGGGGCGGGGGGTCAGGGCCACGTGTGCAAAGGAGCAGGAACGAGAGGTCAGGGATGCGTGTGC